ATGTTCTATACAAATTGTACAAATGAAAAAATACATAGTTGACAGGTGTCATTGAAAAAATTAAATAATATTTAAAAAAAATGAGTAAATCCTATTCTTGTTTCTATCTGCGATTAACCTCGCTTTGGTTGGACATCGTTCTTTACAAAATACAATTTTTTCTAAAAGCTTTTCGTTTCAATCATAGCTTTTATCATTAATATTCAACAAATTGCATAGCTGATATAAAAAATTAACCAATTTTGATAGAGTGTCATTCTGGTTGTGTGAGAGTGTCATCTGCGCAATAAAGATAATTAATTCGAGCGAAATTCATAAAAGATCAAACGCGACAGACCGCTAAAACTGCGAACGCAATCCGGATATACCATATCAGGTGTCCGAATTGAATTAAGTGGAAGCCAATGCACAATTAAGTAAAACAAATAGCGCCTAGCACGATCAAGTGGCATTTGAGACCATTAAACTCGCCTTGTTTGATCTTCAAAATAAATAGCGGGGATAGATGACGTTTACTTTGTTTTAAAATAGGCGATCAACTCGCGGTTTTCATTCTTGTCTCCGAATTACCTATAAATGAATTTTGTGGACTATCTGGTACACAGGGAAACATAATAATTTTATAAAAATATCGCTGAACATTTAAATAATGAAAATTGTCTTCAAAGATAAAGGAAGATTTTTAATTATGTTTTTTTTACTTGAAGTCATAATATACATATATATTTTTAGTTTAGTGCATTCACCTATGTTTTTGAAAAGAGAAGTAAAAAAACTCTCGAAACGTTGGTAAAAAAGTGCAATATATTTAGTGTTTAGCTTTAAATGCTTTGCCGTAGTCAGAAACTTCTTGAAAGTGTCCATATTGATACAGAACGAATAAAAGGATTAATAGAATGATTTAAATCAAAATCTGTTTACTTTTACTGAATTAAGGCTGCATTTTTTTTGTAAAACGATTGTTGAATCTAAAATCATTTTTATCAAAGTTTTGATATACAACTATTTTTTATTGATTGGTGACGTAGAATCCGACATTAAAGTTTAACAGAACAGATCATTAACACCCTCGATCACCAGCGCATCCACCAAAATTTCGAATAAATGGGTTTAATAGTTTCAGTTGAATTTAAGAGTAAATTAGTTTATATTTATATACCATCGTTTTTTCCGAAAAATGGAAAGAATTAAAAAGTTCAACAGTAGTTTCAAATTGTTAATTAGAAAACTGAACTGTGAAAAGTTTTTTGTCATTTTGTATCGACTGGTTTTGGAAATATCTGCGATACATTAATTAAAAATACAATCTCTAATGTCTAGTATGTAATTTAACTCTGATCTGGCTTATCTGATCTAAAATTACGAATATCCAATTATTACCTTAACTTTTATACAGGAAAATCCCAGTTTTGATTGCTGTATGCAAACAATAAAAAATAAACGGTTAGTTCTAAAACAAAAAATTGGCAAAGAAAGGTAAAAGATTTAAAATAAAACAGGCTATTTGAGACGTACAAACAGTTGTAGCAAAAAATAACTTAGGGGATGCTATTTCAACCACCTCCTAGGTGCAGAAATTTTCGAAGAACGGATGGTTGAAAATCTAAGGGGTGAAGTAAGGTTAATTTTTTGCAAAACGCGCTCTTTTTAATTGTAGATTCACAGGTACCATTTGCGCTACTTCCTTTGAAAACTCCCTGTATATTAATGTAAAATGATCTGACACAAGTAAAATTACATCAAGTATGTACCTTTACACTTTTTTGTTGCTGCCTATTGAAAAGTTTAATTTATATCGAAGCATAAAATCTAGTTGGTTGAACCAAAACAATTCAATTTAATTGAACCGTATTTAAATAAGTTCAAATTTTTCCGTGAAAAATCCTGTCAAATGAAGTCTAGTTATGTTCTTCGATACCCCAGCCTTATAGACCAGATTCCTAACTGATGAAATTGCGGAAAATAACTACTATCAGTCAGAAATCTTGTCCTATGACGTAAATATCTTTTGCATACCTTGGTGGGATTTTTAGAAAGGCAATTGAATTTATTGGAATTAGGTTAATATCTTTAAAATAAGGCAAAAATTCGAGAGCAAAAAATAAAATAAAATTTAAAAAATATTCAATTAGTTCACACTTATATGTGGATAAAAAAAATAAAAATATTTAAAAAACATTTTAAAATTTAAAATAGTGCAACACAAAATTCAAAAATACATTGTAAAATGTAAATATACTTTTAGACAACATATACGTGTACATTTGTCTTGCTTTTTTCAGTACAAATATGCTTTGGACAATGAGACATTTGAGTTTAATTTTTTTCAAAATTGTTATCACGAAGAAAGAAATTGATATTCGTTTGCAGTTTTATAAATTAAACGTATAAAGTTACTAAAAACATTAACATGCATTGAAAAAAGTAATACAGTCATGCAAAAAATTAAAGGGTCAAAAGAATTTCCGAAATTTTTCCGTGATTTTTGATAGACTATATCTAAGTGAAAAATGGTCGTATCGGGGATTAAAAAAGCATTTTGAGCTCTAAGATTATAGTTTTTAGATCTTTCAGCCGAAATTTTTTAGGGACTACGGTTATCATGCAATTCTAAGAAATAGCGCGACACAAAAATTTTTACAAATTTTCTTTTTTTTTTTCTCCACGGACTTGGAAATTTGTTTTTCAGCTAAGCCATTGCATGGACCAGATAACTTGTTTATTCAGCTTCAATTTCCTTGTTTTAAAATTTCGATACGACCATGTTTCAACGAGATATCGGACTTTTAATGAAAAATGATCCTTTTGTCTTCAATCATCGATATCTCGGCGACAAATAGTCGTACAGAGAATTGAAGGACAGTTTCGAAGACTGGAATAAATTTCCTATAACGTGCTGCCGCAACTGTTCGGAAAAAATTTTTTTTCATCTTTTACACGAATTTTTAAAAACAGTAAAAATTTATGGTTTTAGAAAAGTAACGGCTAAATTTAAAATATTCATGTTAAGCATGACTTTTACAGTTCGGTATACCCAGAAGAACCCTCTGAAGTTTAATTTCGATCTAGCGAACCGTTTCTTTGTTTCAAACAGTCAAACTTTTGAAAAATTTAAAGGGTCACGTTTTTTGAGCTTAAACACTTCATAATCATGATTAAAATGGAGGTTTTCTCACATTTTTACCGCAAATAACGTTTAAATTGATGAAAAAAAATGAAATTTGTTTTTCAGAGAAGAAAAAGGGTAGTTTTGAAAAAAAAAATATATTTAATTTAATTAAAAGTTGATGAACAGAAGCAAAGAACGAAAAAGCCGAATTGTGCTAGAAACAATTGGATTTTGTTTTCTTCATATGCGGAAGGTTTTTCAAAAAACAAAAAAAAATTTCAACTTTCAAAAACTTTTTCGAAAATTTTTCGAATTTTTTTTCCCATAATTTAAACGTTATTTGCAGTTAAAATGTAAGAAAACCTAAAAAAAACTTTTTTTTTCCATTTTAATCATGATTATGAAGTATTTAAGTATTAAAAAAACGTTTAATTTTTTTCAAAAGTTTGATGGGTTCTTCTGGGTATATCGAACTGTAAAAGTCATGTTTAACATTAGTCATTTCGTGAATATTTATAATTTAGCCGTGAATTTTATAAAAACCATAAATTACCACTTTTTTTCCTGTTTTTTAAAATTCGTGAAAAAATATAAAAAAATCAGAAAAGTTGCAGTAGCATGTTATGAAATTTACTCCAGTTTTCGAAACTGCCCTTCAATTCTCTGTACGATCATTTGTCGCCGAGATATCGATGATTGAAGACAAAAAGATCCTTTTCCATTAAAAGTCCGATATTTCGATGAAAAATGGTCGTATCGAAATTGAAAGAAAAGGAAATTGAAGCTGAATAAACAGGCTATCTGGTCCATGCAATGAATTAGCTGAAAAAAATTTTCCAAGTCCGTGGACTCGCACAAAAAAAAATAAAATTTTCAAAATTTTTTTGTCGCGCTATTTTTTAGAATTGCATGATAACCGTAACTCCTACAAAATTTCGGTCGAAAGATCTAAAAACTAGAATCTTAGAGCTTCAAAATGTTCAAAAATTTTTAGTTCCCGATACCACCATTTTTCACCTAAATAGTCTGTCAAAAATCACGGAAAAATTTCTGAAATTCTTTTGACTCTTTAATTGTTTGCATTAGTTTATTATTATTTTTTAATAGTTAATAAAAAATATTAGACTTTCGGGAAAAATCATTCCATGCTCACAAAAATTTTACATAAAATTACACACAAGTATAGTTAGTATAGTTTTAAACATACAATAATTACCAAAAATGTGAACAATGCATTGAAAAAATACATTAATTCTCTTTTTTAATAGTTAATAAAAGAATTTAATATTTCGAGAAAAAATAGTTCCACACTCATAAAAATCTTATATACAACCTTAATGCTACGTAAAATTATGTGACACAAGTAAAATTACATTAAGCATGTAACTTTACACTTTTTTTAATCGCTGCCTATTTAAATTGTTAATTTATATGGAAGCGTATAATTTAATTGGTTGAACCAACACAATAGTTTAAATTTAGGCTTATGTGTATATCAAATATAGTAAAAACATGTAAAAGATTAAATTATACATTTTAAAGTGTACCAGTACAACATCACAAATAACAAGACATTGTAAATAAATATACTTTGCACAATGTGTGTGTGTTTTTTATTTACATCTTTCTTGTTCGTGCACTTTTTAAAAACCTTTGTAACATTTTGTGTAATTTTTATTAGTGTTACTTTTTTCAGTACAAGAAACATGCTTTGCATTTGATCACGAAACAATTAACATCCAATTTTTCTCAACATTTTTATCACCCATCCCCGAATTATTAAAAAATATATTTTTTAAACAGCAGATATATACCCAAGCACATGTAAGATGATCTTTTATAGATTTAACTAACCCATCGGAAAAATAATGAAAAAGGCACAAAAACTCACCTCTTTCGGTGCAGCTTGGACGAAGGCAAGCGCGGCAAGCACGGCAAGAACCACGCTGGCGGACCACATGTTGCTTTCTGGTCGTCGGAGATGGCTTGTGGTCCACCGCGGCCAAGAGGGTTTATATATCCCGGTGCTTGCCCCGTCAGGAGGGTAGGGACTAGCCCGCCGCGTCGTCCTCTGCTCATAGGTAGGTGTCGACGCAGGTAGCTACGCGGGGGGGACGGGCGAAAAAATGGAAATTCGCATTCGCAGTTTTCGTTGAAAGTTTTTGTAAAATTGGCGGAGTTTTGTTCTTTGGGAAGGTGGTTTGATCGTGTTGGAGTTGGATTAGTAAGTATAACATGTATTTCGATAAAAAATGTTTTTTTATTATTAGTAATAAATATTGGCATCTACGCCAATTAAGGCCGTACTGCACTGAGAGGAATTATACATGTTGTCTACATACGTTATTTAATAATTTTTGTGCAGAAAATTCAAATAATTATTTAATATTGTTTATCCAACACTTGTATACAGGGTGTTTCAGGATTAAGTCGACAAACTTTAAGGAGATATTCCTCATAAAAAAAGTAAGAAAAAAATCAAGTATAAATTTTTTCCAGAGACGCTTCATTTTTGAAATATAGGGCGTTAAAGATTAAAAAAAATCGAATTTTTTAAATAACTTCTAAATGAAGAAGGCTATTTAAGCCAAATTTGGCATGACACATCTTCTTATAAGATACCATTTTCCCGTAGAAGTAGAAGTCCCGCAAGCAACCAGTGACGGAGTTATGGGGACTCAGACTCATTAAATAATAAAAAAAATTAATAAGGCTCTACTGAAAATAAAAAATAATGCTGTTTTTAGATAGAACAGTTTGTTATTGACAAAAAATGTACACTCACTTTTTTCCTAACTCTTATAGTTTCATGGCAAAATTGATTTTTCGGAAGGGTGCTTCTGGATGCCAAATTTGGCTTAAATAGCCTTCTTCATTTAGAAGTTATTTAAAAAATTCGGATTTTTTTAAAAATCTTTAACGCCCTATATCTCGAAAATGAAGCGTCTATGGAAAAAAATTTATACTTGATTTTTTTCTGATTTTTTTATGAGGAATATCCTTAAAGTTTGTCGAGTTAATCCTGAAACACCCTATATAATGATACTACAATTTCTTTGGTTTTAAAGGAATAATGTGGCAAATAACTCACTAGTGAGTTATAAGTCATAAGTCATTAGTGAGTTATGAAACCCTTGGTTACAGACACAATTTAGGTTGACACTCGCATCCTTTGTAATATTTAAAAATACATTCATTTCGTTAAATTACTTTTTCTTATCTTGACAATTTGAAATTTTAAGTTACTTTTATTTATTATTAAAACGAAATTCTATGAAAGTGTTGGATAAAATTTTGTATGGCACTCGTGTGTTACGTCATGTAAGTCACTTGGGAAAATTAGCATTTCCCAACGTGACTTATATACAGGGTGGACCACCAGTAACGCCTCGGTCGCTAGGGACCAAACAGCAAATGTTACAGAAACCTGATTACGTGTGTATGTGTAGGTTGATTATGCCTACATTTTAAAAATATTTGGAAATATACAGGGTGTCCAGGAAAAGCGTACCATATCAAAGTTATGTATTTTTAAATGGAATACCCTGTATTTTACTGCATTTTTGAAAGCACAAAAAAGGAAGCAGCTTTGAAGGGTCTATTCTAGATCCTCGAAGTTATAAATTATTATATTTGTCGCACCTAAGTATCATACAGAGTGTTCAAAAAACTGCTGAATACTTCTCTCAACTTTAAACAGCAATAACTTGGTTATTTTAAATGGGACACCCAGTATATTTTTACTTTGAGAATTAGGAAATTTAAAACTCTTTCAAACTGTTTCAGGTTCCATATACCTATCTCTAACGGTATTGGAGATATTTGTGCCGTTTCGTTTTTTATCGAATTTTTTGTTCGATGTATCCACGTGTCTTTATCGAGGTCTTTATGGAATTAGTTTGGGTTCTTCTTGATGACGTCTCTTTAAATATACGGAGAAAATTGTGGATGCAATTATATGGAGCACAATGATGAGAAATAATTTAAATCGAAACTTTAGTAATAAATGGATAAGTAAGAATGGTGCATGTCAGTGGCCACGTAGGTGTCCAGACCTCACCGTAATGGACTTTGTTGCGAGCTATATAAAAAATCTTGTACACAATGATCCACCTACTAATTGCGATGATATTGAAGGGAAGGATTAGATATGACAATATTCAAAAAAGTTTTCTAATAAAAAATATTATTTTATAAGCATCTAATTGCATCTTCATTTTTCTCAACATATTTAAAGAGACGTCATCAAGAAGAACCCAAACCAATTTAATAAAGACCTCGATAAAGACACGTGGATACATCTTACAAAAAAAAAATCGATAAAGAACGAAACGACACAAATATCTCCAATACCGTTAGAGATAGGTATAGGGAACCTATACATAGGTTGAAAGAGTTTTAAATTTCCTAACTCCCAAAGTAAAAATATACTGGGTGTACCATTTAAAATAACCAAGTTATTGCTGTTTGAAAGTTGAGAGAAGTATTCAGCAGTCATTTGAACACCCTGTATAATACTAATTGACGACAAATATAACAATTTATAACTTCAAGGATCTAAAATAGACCCTCCAAAGCTGCTTCCTTAAAATTATTTTTTTATTGCTAATAAGTATTCAATTTCTACGCTATGCCTGCATTTTCACTAAAATTGAAATATCTCCCAAACTGTAAGGCCTAGGTATGCAGAACCTTTAATAAAGTTCACCTATTTTCTTACGGTGCTTTCAAAAATGCAGTAAAATATAAGGTGTTCCATATAAAAATACAAAACTTTGATATGGTACGCTTTTCCTGGTCACCCTGTATATTTCAAAATATTTTTAAAATGTAACCGTAATCAACCTACACATACCCACCTAAACAGGTTTCTGTAACATTTGCCGTTTGGTCCCTAGCGATCGGGGCGTTACTGGTGGCCCACCCTGTATAACACAAATGTCTTATTTTATTTGAGTTTTCGAAAAAATATTGTTTACATCTCGAACGCGAAAGGCTTTGGCGTTCTCGTATGGATATTTTGCCTCGCTAAGCTCGGCGAAATAACTTACGTTATTGAACGCAAAAGTACCATTTCGCGTTCTAGATACAAAAATAATTATTTTTTCCAAAAATTTGCTAAGTTGGTGCACAAATCTATCAATCAGGTCTTGCATGGGAAACACCATAATTGAAAACCATAGAATTGGATGCCACTGAATATTTTGAAGATTGGAGAAGTGCATTTAATTTTAGTTGGTTCGAAAAATAAAGATATCTTTCATTTTATTCAAAAACGAGCCATTTAATTTAATAAAAGCCTGCGACACAGTTGAATAAATAGAAAATAATTCCAAAATTAAACTTGATATAAATTTAGAAAATAATAGAAATTGAGGCCACAACATTATTGGAGCCTTTAGCTACTGAAAACCTCTTTTTTCCTATAAAAATGGCTAAGTTGTACAATATTATAACAAAAATAGTTGCATTTATTTTATTTTCTTTAATAAAGTTATATTTTTCATTCATACTAATAGAACGCAAGAAACAGATAAAAAAATGTTTAATATGAAATAGAAATATGTTTTTTAAATACTGAACTTTACATTAAAAAAATGTAAACTATAATATGTCACAAATATGTAATTTAAATGCATTTTTTCTAATAATAACAACTTTGAAACATTAATTAAATGAAAAATTAAAATGAAATACTATCAGCTAAATCGAAAATAAAAATAAATCATTTCATCACTTGCAGAATAGTCTCGAATACTTTTAAATTAGGTTAAAAATGTAAAGCTTGTATCATCATTCATTTAATGTTATTTGTTTGCAGCAATTTTAGTTTTTTGTCTGTTTATTTATTTAAGTATTGCAAAATTCATGTAATTTTATGTTCTATTTATTTGAAGCAGTTTTAGCACTAAAACACGTTTATATTCCAAATTTATACCTATAACACCTACATAATACAACAAAATTCGAATTTAGAAATATCATTAGAAAAGTTTTTGTTTATATTTCTAAAAACTAAACTAAATATTAATTTAAAACAGCCACTTGTAACTAAAAATATAATTTTTTTAAAGAATTTTCTTGGTCGATTCGAGAAAATGGCGAAGGAGCCTGTGCTAGTGTAATTTTATTTCTAAATACCATCCTATATTTCATTTCACCGAAATAAATGTGTTTGGGCAGTAGTAACATCAATTTTCCGATGTAGTGAATGTTCATATAATCAGGTATAACTTAGGTGTTATTTTACAAATTGTTTTAAATAAAATATCTTATGACCTTTCTAATAAGTAATAAGTAGTCAAATTTTGTTGCTCTCTGTATGCATGTATTACTGTTATGTTAATAGCTACATTCTTAAATATTGTATTGTCGAAAGCTTTTCCGAAGTACATAAATCTCGTATTATTTGTCCTTAGCGGTTTCTACATTATTCATTGTAAACTAAAAACACTAGGTGCAATTTTAATCAGAATAAGTTCATATTTTCCTTATATATGAGTACAGGAATATTTATTTATGTACTTATTAATTAATTAATTAATTAACATCGCCTTAAAGGTAAATACAATTACATCAATAAAAAAGAAAGTAAAAAGCAAATAAAAACCTAAAACAACCTAGCTCGTTGGTACTATATACAAAGAGGGGTCATTCTTACATTGTACTAGAAGATATATAGAGTTGGTTAAATTACAAGAAAGTTGCATATTTTATGCCATTTTGGATTATCAACAGAAATTGGAGATAAGTTGCACCGTTCCTGAAATAAGCTAAAAAAACTGAAAACTTTCTTATTTTTTGTTATTGAAAGTAGAGTAATGAAAACTGGTACGTATACATAAAGCCATATGCTCTATCTGTTGGATAGATCCTTATGTATTTTTTTAACAAACTTTAGATTTTTTTATGGACGCCATATTGAATTTTTCCACCACTAGATGAAGGCTTAAATTTGATTTCAACGATTATACCACTTGAGTGAAGAGATTTTATTAAAGGCCAAAAAACGTCCATTTTATGATTTGTTTAATTTCATCATAGTAGCCATGAAAAAATACGCGAAAATTTTGATATTTCTGTTTAAAATGTGTAACTTTCTTGTAATTTAACTAACCCTGTATATCTTCTAGCTCAGGAAATACTAACTCATACACTTTAAAAGTGACCACCCTGCATACATAAGTAAACTTTAATATACACATTTTTTAAGTTTTTTAAGTATATTTTAAAAGTGTTTATTTTTTAAATCTTTAAGTCTCAAATTGAGTAAAAATTTTTTTAATTTGTTTGAATTAGCTTAATTTCGTTAAAATAGAGTGAAAATATACGAGAGCTAATAATAAAATATATGTTTTTTGAAACAAATAATATCGCATACAAAAAAGTATTTTGGACAAAAATGTAATCATAATAAGAAGTAGGTATATGGTTTTCTTTTAAGTTTATAATAATTTTTGATGAAATTCTAGATCTAAAGATCTGTTAATTCAAAGACAAAACAAAGTTAAAAAATGACTTTTAATGGAAATATAAAAATGCAAGAGTTTTAAAGCTGAAAAAACGACTGAAGCAATTTATGGTATTAGGTTTTGATTTTTCATAGACGTATGTGTTCTTTCGCAATTTTTTTCTGAACTAATTCAGATTTGAGAAACGCTATTATTACAAAAAGTTTTACACTTTACAAAAATATGTTGTTGCTACATCTTGCTAGAATGTACTGTTTCCTATACCTACAAATGATGGATGTCTAAGATATTTTTTCCTAAATGTGTCAAAATATCAAATTATTTTTTAAAAACAATAACACCTATTTATTCAATAATTATGTATTCAATGAATGAAACAAAATTATATTTGTAAGTTTTCCTTCAATTATGTTTCATTATTTCAATTAAATCACATATTTATTTTTAATTTTGTACACATTGAATCGCGAAAACGAAGCTTTTCCGGATACATATTTATAGGAAATTTTTTACTAATTTGAGAGATAGCATTCGCCATTAAAGTTTGGCCAATCATTTCAATTATTTCCCATATACGACAAGGTTAAAATTTTAATAGCTTCAATTCGTAAGAAAATAAATAAAACTAGGAGAAACAAATACTCTGTGAACTACAACCCCATCCACCCACAGTCAAAATGTCATACCATGTGAAACATTCCACGATTTATTGTATGCTGCAACATATTCTGAAAACTGAAAGAATATTCGGCCACTGTAGCTTTGTATGATGTGATATAACCAATCTACAGTCCTCATTTAGCATATATTTACTACTTATTAATTTCTATATCACTTTTTTGCGTTACTGTAAGTTACCCTGAACCATTTTGTTACCCAAAACGAAATTATTATCTCTTGCAACACATTTTCCCTAAAATTATGCATACTCCTACCACTCCACTCAACTGTAACAATTTAATGCCCGTTTCAGTAAACTTCTGGTGTATCCCTTCTCTGAACTGAAAAAAAATGGCACGGGGTACCGATTTAACCAGCGTATAGAGGGTTGATACGCGCTATATGTGGAAGTATTGTTATTTCTTATTATTATAATCGTATTATTGAAGATCGATCTAAGGTAGATCCTCCTCCACTGGGAGCTTATGCTTTTACATCTAATCGACTCTTGTATGGAGGTAAACGAAAATAGTAAATTGCGTTACAAACTCCTCCACATAGGCCCTGTGTATGTCCCTTAGACTGCCGCCTTTTCATAGCCAACTACCTATTTTATAACTGCATCATTACAGGTTCCAGTTCCCGAAAATAAATAAATCAGACGTATGGAATAATAAATGATATTGGAATAATAAATGATATTGGAATAAAAGGATAAAATGTTTCGTGAACACAAAATTGCTTCAATAAAAATTGTGACCTGAACATTTAAAGTTTAATTTTTTTTCTTTTATTCTAATATAAATAACTCACATAGAATACAATAATAACTAATTTCAATTGAATTATAAGGCGTTAATATACCTACAGGCCTACAGGGTAGGCTTTAAATTTTTTTCTTTTTCTTTTATACGTATATGGTTGAACTTAGGGGTGGTTTTGCCCTCGTTTAGGGGTATTTTCTTTCGGATCTAGTGATTGGGATTATTAACGGTTCAATTATCACGTATAAAAGAAAAAGAAAGAAAAATTGTAACTTTTAATATATTTTTTGCATTTTTAGGCGTTTAGGGAATGGTTTCACCCCTTTAGGGGTATTAAGGGGTTGATTTTCAGTCCGGGCAAGACCGTATCAAATACAAAATTAGATATTTTCACGTTCATAATATTATTTTGATAACAACATAGAAATATTTGGGGTTTTACAACTGTTGATGATTCTTAATTTGTTCATTTTTTTGTCTTTTCAAACCCTAAATAAGGGCGATTTTCGAAAATTTTCTAAAAACTGAAAGTGATGCTCATTTTTATTTTTCGGGACCAGTTTTTGGATATTTTTAGAATATTTTTTAGATTTTTCCTGTCGCGTCTGTCAAAGTCTCAAAAACAGGCGGATTTTGCGGTCACTCTTTATCGTCTTCTAACGCAAAGACCATTTTCTAACCTAAAACAGTTCGAGTACTTTATATCGAAGAAACCATCAGTATTTGCTTCCTTACCACAAAACTAACAGTTAACAGATGATTAGCGTTGAAAAAACTGATTATTTAGAAGATTAAGGATAAATTCAAATAAAAACAATCGGCGAACACAAACAAATACAATAGCATACACACGGACGACTCTGAATTGACAGATCGTGTCGGTTGGAAATCTAAGAAAACGGAAAGTAATTTTGATCAAATGGAAGTAAATTTTGATTTCTTTGGTAACGTTTACGTGTGACGTCAGCTTCAATACTTCTGAATCACTCGGTATATTAAGTTTCGGATATCCCAGTAGAATAACTATTGAAATGTCCCGTTAATCCATTATCTTTAAGTACCTAGGACTTTGACGTTATTTTACGGATTTTCAGCATTACAATAACTTCCATTTGAAGCTTCTACGTAAGAACTTCACAGCTTGGAGTTACATAAAATCGCACGCATGTGCAATTAAATAGGTCAGTTTAGCGTTTCTTTCTTTGGCATTACTTCAACTACAATAATTTTCTTTTATTATATTTTTCCTATTTTTGTAACGTTTACGACATCAAGTGTATCAATCAAAACTACATCATGTTTAGATTTTGCACGATCGAATTAGTGATTGATCTTTTTTAACGAGCCATTTTAAAATTTAAACAATTAACGTCCACATGATAGCAATAACAAATCAGTACGGCTAGCATGGGCTTTATACTTTACATTTTGTACATTACATTATATATGTTAATAAAAATTAATTTGTCAATTTTTTCAATATAAGGAGAAATTGACCATGCAACAACGCCCTTAGATAATCTCACGGTTTCAAGTGGCCATCCAGATAAGTTTATCCACAGATCGTTGTCGTCTGACGTTTTTTCGATATCTTCAATAACATGGATGTATTTTGTGTAGGTATCTGTTTGTTTTCGACGGTGGCACGCGATTCGCCCCAAGCCTGGTACTCCAACATGCATTTTCGGAGCTAATGGACATATGTGCTACCTGATTCTCGAGTACTTGAACTATATGGAACACGATAAGGTTTATTGCAACACAAACAGTATAAATTATTATTATTTTCCAGCGAGAGAGATAATTATTAACAAGCAATATGGATGATAATTTCATTAGGCCCACCTAGTCTGGGAAGCAAACACGGCTATCTATTAATAAATAAAAATAACAGCGATATTTTCTACATTTATTGTTATTTATTAATATTAATTTAATTCTGAGCAATTGATTTATTTATTGGACTAATTAATGGGACCTGGCGAATTTCTTATCTGGAAAGATTTCTGCGTTGTTTCTGTTATATTGCTGTTTTTTCGTGCCATCCATCAAGTCGAATGAGGCAACGGTGCAATTTTTAGATATTACCCTGGAAAATCAGCGGAAATTGTATTTTCGGTTGTGATTGTCGCCAATGAATGGTTTAATATATCTAAAGTTACAGGAAATAATTAATAAATATTTGTTTCAATAAACACCTACGTAACTATGAATGAAATATACTGTATTTGTTTTATTATTCCTAATCTTTGGAAAAATACCTCATATAATACCTCATACAATAATATAATATATATAATATTTAATAATAAGAAATAAGACTGTTGTAGATATTCACTTATGAAGTAATTTTCTTCAGATCTCAGTTTATTTGAGTTAAAAGAGGAATTAGATAATCTTCCTAATCATCTTCAATTTTACCATAATTACAGAATACATAAATCAAATGTGAAAACAGAAAACAAAGTTTTTGACTTTTGATAATTTTTTGTGAACATTAGTTCGAAATGCCCTCTGCTCCCAAATGTCAACAGTTCGGCAACAGAACAAATCGAAAAGTTCCTAGTGACCAGGCAGGCAGTAAATTGTAAATGGCAAATGTCAACTTTTTGTTTGGTGGTGATGTATGTCTGTGAAAACATATTTTTTCCGTTAATTTAACAAATATTAAAATGAACTGTAGTGTCTAGTTAGCGTTTTAAAGCAACCGCCACCATGAACCGACCGCAAAACAGTAAGTATGGTTGAATTTAATCGTTCAAACCGTGTTGACATTTGTTGCCCCATATTTCTGAGTGGGTCTCTCCCCATTTTTAGGCATCCTAACACTGCCACCCTCGAGCAAAGACAAGACCAAGGACTGGCAGCTGGAGATACTGATGGAAAAACTCAGGTCCAAAGCCGCCCAGTACAAAACCCTGCCCGAGATATCAAAAAATGTTCGCATGACTTTGCTTGTAGGTTACACCTTCTTTTCATGAAGATTATAATGTGAATTAACATCCGTTTATGGTTATTTTTCAGGAGAAGAGATATGCCTTGGATAGCGTTGAAAAGAGCCAGCATCAAAAATGTTTAGACACGTTGCAGCATTCCATAAAGGTGACGTCTTTCCAGAGCATGGTAGAGCGATTGGAGAGCCTTACAAGGCAATTAGGGTATGTAACTACATTTAATAAGTCTAGTTTAATTTTTTGACCTCATTAACATATGTTTAATGCAAAATATAGTCCCTTTAAGCACTGTTTGTTTTTTTTAGGTTAAAATTTGTAGTAGAACCAACTGGTGTGTTCATATCCTCGGATATGTTTTACTTAGAAATCGTACTAGAACCCACAGGTGCAGTGAAAGACGTAAAAATCCACCACGAAGGAAAAAAAGACCAGCAAAGTTGCACGGAACTTGTGAACTGCCTCTCGCGAGGTGATTTTGCCGATTTCACTGCACAGTTGGAAGGTTTCACTTCGATTTACCAGCTCAACGCTGAAAAGAAAGTAAAATGCAAAGCTTTCACTGCCCTAGAGTCTCTTGAGGCCGATCTTAGTATCCTAGCTCAATTACAGGCCTTTATGAAGGAGCCTTTCAGTTTGATACACAAATCGCCCGTTGGAATTTTGGAAAAGAGGCGGGGAGGGCATCCGATGAAGTTAACGTACTTCATTTCGCCCTACGATTTATTAAACGTTGAGAAAAATGATATGGAAGAGATAAGTATCGACAGCGTCATCAATAAGTCTTTGGGGTACAGTGTTACTGTTTGTATGGAAGGATCCGCAGCGCATAAGTTGCAGACTACTACTTTAATAACTGTGAACAGGAACATGAATGGAAAAAAGTAAGTTTTATGTTATATTCTTATCGATCGGGTATTAGAAATTTACTGTAATTAAAATTTTTTAATAGTTATGATTAAATGAGATTGGTCGATTCGGGTCATTTATCAGTCATTTTTCAATTTCAACAATTTTGGTCTTTTTTATTATGCTTATTATATATTTTATAAATTGTTTTTGAATTTTAATAATATAATAACTGCTTTCTTTACAAAAGTTGTATTTCGCATACCGCAGGGAAAAATTGGTCTTTTAATATTCCATGGTAATTTTTGCTAAGTGAGTGCCCCGTCACTAATTTTTAATATTACTTTAGCACTTTTAATAGCTAGTAAATGAGTAGTTTCCCATAATAGTTTAAAATATAACTGGAATAATGAACACAACGTTATGGTAATTATTCAAAGTATTATAAATGTGTTTTTTCGATGACGTCACTGTTTCGAATTGTCATAGGTGTGGAATTCTATTGCTTAGACGCATATATCCGAATACAACTACATCGTGCTGCCAATTTATGAATTTTTACTCTGCTTCTAGGCATTTAATAAATAAATAAAATTTAACATTTTTAGTTAGCTTAAGATGAAGTATGAATATTTATAAATTTAAAAATGTAATAAATAAGTATAACACCGAAAGGGTATCGTAAAATACAGCGTGTAACTTTGAATAGGAGCCATATTTATACAGAAGCTACTTTTGACCTTCAGCAACAAATTTTTTTTAAATTCTATTATGAAAGCTGATTTTTTTTTAACTTTTCATACCTCGCCACTGGACAGGCTAGTGTAATCTTAATTGGCATACACCTAATCGAGAGCAGTATGCACTGTTGTCAAATCTAATTTTTCTTAATTTTACCTATACTTCGCGGTTGAAATTATGGAGAGTGACTCATCGTTAGCTCTTAGATAGTAAGGATGGAACGTGCGGGGATCGAAAATCCATTGACGTATCAGTTTAGAAGGCGAAAAGATATAAAAAATATAATAAAACATAACATCTTTTATTTTTAGAGGTTTTGTCAAGAAAACTTCAAAACTTTTTAGCAACATTTTGTTTTTAAATTTTAAAAGAAGACTAAAAAAACCAATTTATTTAGAATATTCACTTTTTGCCAAAGGGTTCACGTGTGATGCTTTCTTTTTTGCGACATGTTTGCACGGCAATATTTCAACTAAACAGATCTAATCAAGAAAGGTTCTGACTCGCATAAAACGGTTTCCCCGAGACTGCCGGGGAATTGCGTTTTTAGCGGTTATCTTTTATTACGTAGTCTGACTTTATAATCCAAACTATATATGTTAAACCGAATTTTGTTCGAATTAAAGAGTTTTGTTTGGACCATTGAAACGGGTATTCTTCGGGATTAGATTCGGATTAGTGAATATTCGGATTAAGGTGAGTTCAGATTAAAGAGTATACTGTACATTAATATTACACGAGACCCTTCATTGTCTGTCCCTTTCACTGTACTAAATTCTATTTCGATTCCAGTAAAAACTAATACTTTTACTTATTCGCCCTTTGCTATTTACTCTCTTGGCACTCTAGTGTCATATATCAGGTGAATTGATAATTGTAGTTCATCTAAAAGGTCAGTGTTAAACGTCAGACGTCATTGACATTGAGATTCACAAACTAAACACAGTGCTTTAAAAATATTTCTCATCTATCCGATTAGTAAGTATTTCTACATTTTATAAAACAGGAAAAATAATAATTTTAAAACATAACTAGTTTTACCTGCAATTTGTAACATATGCCTGTTCATATACCAACAAATTATTTAAAAAATATTGATTTTTAGAAAACATTTTTTTTACATTCTGTGCTTTTTCTGTATTGAAAAAAAAATAGGGACTAAAATAACTTGTCACAAAGTTCTAGGGGAACTTGTACTATTACCCCAAAAACTCAGCTTCCAGTCAAATTTACACCCTGTATACTTTTGAAATTTTTGAATTTGCAGTAACAATGCATCAAATAATCGTATATATCAGACTTTTTCTATTTATTTTTATTTTCAACTTGGTAAATTTTTTCCTGGCTAATTATAAAATATCGATTTAAACAAAAAAAATACCTTAAAAAGTATATCTGATATTTTTTTAAACTTGGAAATGAATTTAATGTTTTTAGTACACCATCGTACTCACCTCTAACGGCTCAGAATAGCGCCGTTATACCGGCCTGTTTTGTGCTGAAACTAAACAAACCGATGCCCATGTGTCTGTCGTTGGTGAGGCAGATACAGCAGATCCACCCGTGGACGGATATTGATAGCGTCACGACGCAACCACTGCTTAATTTGATAGTGTCGCATAGTAGTGGTGGAAAGATGGAGTCTAGTAATAACAAGGGATTGTTTGTGGTAAGTTTCTTCGTAATATTATTATTAAGGGGAGTAAATATGTGATTTCCAGACATTACCGGATCAAAACCACTGTTATTTCATGACGGAGAACAAAAATATGGACGGGGTGCTAGTGACTAGCATACCGTTCACCCATCCCGCTCACGTCGGTAACATTTTGATAGTTTTAAGGGAGCAAGCCCTGTTTAATACCATCATTAGTAGCTGCGTTAGACCAAATAGTAGACAAGGTAAGACTTATCTGTAAGACAGTATCTGTTTGTCACTGTACCTACTTTTAGATTTCGAGAACATGACCATGTTCGAAATAAGCGCCCTCTCTCCCAGCCACATCTCCGTCTCCTTAGAACACCCAGTCGACGAAAGCATGGCTACCGCCGAGATCAACCTCATGGACATCTCAAACTTGGAGTGTCACATTCACAATCCCGGTACGCCGCCTCCCGCCAACACCCCCGACACCATCTCCGAGCTGGCATCGAAGATACTGAACAAGTGCCTATCGCTGCCCGTCACGATGCGCACCATCATAAAACTGTGGGAGAAGCAAGCCATGCGACGCTCCCACTATGGCGGCGGACATGAAAATTTTAGTTTACCCCTCGGGCCGGGTGACCCGGGTGGTCACAAGAGCGGGCCAGGACCGGGCCTGGGAGATTTTGGGGGCCTTGGGGATAAAATGATCAAGCAGGAGCCGATGGGGGGTTCCGTGGGCCACGGGATGATTATGCAGGCCGCGGCGGGCACGGGCCAGGGCATGTTCCTTAACCATTCGATGATGACGTCGAATTTTTCAAACTTCCCACCTTCCGATGGGGTGCCGACCAACATGGAGCTCACTAACATACCGTCAGGTGAGTTAGGGATGTTTTTGGTTATGGATTTCTCGTTTACGGACACTTTTAATTTGAATATGAAAATTGTTAGCTTTAGTTAGTTTTGAATTTAAATAAAATAATCAATTTGGTTCATAGTTTTATCGAAACTATCTTTTCGTTAAAATTTTACGTCGGTAAGCTATTGGTGTGCTATGCTACATGGTGATTTTCCTGTCCAGATACTGCGGACAAATGCAGCAAGCGGCAGAAGCGCAGGTCTGACGATTTGTGGAAAAGTGGCAAGAGGAAGGTGGGAACGGATGATTCAGAACTGATGGAGTCGTCAAGCTGCGACTCCACCTCAAGAAGCACCCCATTGTCTCAAGAGATAGATGTCACCACCCCGAACTCGGTATTGGGGTTTCAGACGGACCTCGATCTAGACCCGGCTGAAATCTTGGGGGTCGCCGATAAGTCCAACACGGAATTTGATAACATAGACGATTTGGGCGACATCGAAGATATTACCAAGGAATCAAAACGGAAGCAGGAGAAACCGCCTGAAATGGTCGAGAAAAGCTTGGTACCTCCCAACGTTAGCATCACACCGATTCCTTCTAGTCCTTCTGGATTTTCTGTAGGAGGGAGCCAGGATAAGCGGCAAGGGATCGAAATAATCCCCATGTCTCAATCAACATCCTCACTTCTGTCCAGTTCAATCACAATTACTCCAATATCGTCGTCACAGAGTAAGTCTTCGGAAGAAAAAACGAAGGAAAAACGCAGCAGCAAGAGCAGTAGAGACGATAAGAATAGGACAGAGAAACGCAAGAAGAGAAAAAGAGACGAAAGCCCCATGGGTCCGCCGGAAAAAGTACCCCCGAAGCAAGATCCCCTCACGAAACCCGTAACGGTGAGCATAAAACCCACCGAATCCCCTCCTTTGACTCCTGTCACCCCCACGTCCCCCAATATGGTGCGGAAGTTTAGTGCCTCGCCTACCCCAAACAGGACTATGTCACTAAGTGGCAAACTCAGCCCAAGCCCAATGAAATCTAACCTCAAATCCAGTTCGTCACACCAGAGCCCCAAACACTCGCCAGCACACGTGCCTAGCAGCCCCAAGCACAGCATCCCGGGCATTTCCAGCCCCAAGCACCACGGTACTTCCCCAAAGCACCCATCGGCCAGCGGTTCGGGGAAACCAAGCATGTCCACTTTGAAAAGCGCAGCTAATTCGCCTTCCAGTAAAAGCGGGGCCGACTCGAAAAAATCCAGCTCGAAGGATGGTTCCAGGGATAAAGACAAGAAATTGTCTAGCGTTTTCAGCGTGACCAACTCTAAAACGAAGGGATCCGCCAAAGTGAAACCGTTGGATTTGAATATGGGAGAAGTGCCGCAAGATGGTCTATCGTCGCCCAGCGGGACGTGTGACTCGTCCAAATCGAATTCGAACCAGGCGAGGAACCGCAAAGGTTCTCTGTCAGCCATCGTGGATAAACTGAAAGTCAACGCGCAACACTGTGATACCGCCACTGACCTCAGCAGTAAATCGAGCAGCGGGCGGGATAGGACGAGTTTGAACGCAAGCAAATCGAACGAGTCGAAGAGCAGCACCAAGATAGGCGAGACGAAAAACTCGGAGTACATGGTGAAGCCTAGTTCGGACGGTATGAAGATAACGATCAACAAGACACGCAGCAAAGACAGTTCCAGTGCGAAATCATCAAGTTCGGCAAGTGTGAGCAAAACGGGATCACCGAAAATACACACCGGATTGAAACCGGGCGTCAACAGCGGTCCAGCGTCGAAAAAACCCCAGCAACTACAAAAATCGAGCAGCTCGAGCGTCTCGAACTCGACCAGTGCCAACTATAGCGGTAGCTTAAAAACCTCAAGTTCCAGTAACAAAGTATCCTCTTCCAGTGCTTCGAAACTCTCTTCGGGATCTACGGGTAGCGGGAGTCTCTCGAAATCGGTGTCGAAGCTGAGCGGTTCGCCTAAAACGGGTTCCAGTGCGACGGACTTAAGCAGGACTAAAGACCGTTTGAAACCGAGTAAAAGCAGTTCGGAAAAGTCGATGTTCTCCCGGAAGTCCAGCCCAACGCCTAATCGTGACGATCCCGACTCTTACAAGTCTAAAATTGACCCGTTCGGCTCAAATTTAATGATGGAGGGCATGATGAAGCAGCTCGACAAGAATTTCCAGATACCGAAGCTCTCCGCGAGGACATCGGACGACAAGAAGAAGAATGACTCGTTAAACAACATGAACGCCGGCACGGTGGACAGAAAGATCTTCGACTTGATGTCGAAAAACGACCTTACAATGCCCAAGTATCAGCTGGCGATACCCAACAAGTTTGAGAACTCCATGGAGCAGAAGGTGAGAAACAATGTGAATAGTATGAACGCGATGGGGATAGGCAGCGGCAAACAGAAGGACGACGAAGAGGACAGGAGGAAGGATGTGCCCCAAAATCTGTCCAGTTCGCAAGGTTAGTAGTTTTTTCTGTTTTGTCGTCGAGAATTTGATAAATCCAAAAATAAAATTATCAAAAACGGAAAGAAATTGTTCAGCTTCTAAATAATTGCAAAATAAATGTCAGTCCTTGGAAAAAATTATACAGGGTGTAACTTAAAGTGGGGGTCAGCTTTTTAGGGATAATAGTATGTGTTTTCTCCTGAATATGAATCTGAAGTTCTTTTTTTTATTAATCAAATAAATAACTCAAGTTATAATTCGTTTTTTAAAATTCATTTTAATTCTTGTGTATGCTTCTGCCGCCACTGGGCTACGTAAACCGAGATATCCGGAATTTGCCTATTAATGCACTATAAACGTTGCCAGTTGTTTTTAAATCAACTACATTGTGCGAAGTTATGGAAAATAATTTAACAAAAAAATTTTTTTTTAATAACTTGGTGACATGCTATTTTAAAGTTATCCATATTTTTTGATATCACTGTGGTCGAAGCACCGAATATTTAAAAAAAAACATTGTTTCTAAAAAAATATTAACTAATGTCGGTATGTAGGTACGTTACGTCATTGTAAATATATTTTTTTAGTCGACTGTTAGACAGCAGAACTAGTGAAAAATAATTTAGTGAAAACAGATTGCTTTTCTAGGACAATAACGTGTTATTTTAAAGTCACCATATTTTTTGATGCCAATGTGGACAAAGCGCCAAACGTTAAAAAAATTGTTTTTAAAAAATTAAAAATATTTGCATGATTTAATATGGTATGCAGATGCGTTGCTAATTGTAAATAAAACCAATTTTAAAATATTTTTTTTTGTTTTTAAACTAAATACACGTAAATAAATTTACTAATCTGATTATTATGAAATTCTTTTTTAAATCACTTCAAGTTTTTACAAACATTTGTGTATCTATTTTTTTTAAGCACTGTGTGTATATTAGCAATCATGGGGGTTTTCACCCCAATTGAAACATATAATTTCAACAATCGGTTTATTCCCTCAAACGACAGAGTTGTCTCTTGTTTATTTGCTATGTCGGGACTCTAGTGACTCCCATGAGTGACTCTCGTGCTCATTGTCCCCGTGAACCGCGTTCCATCAGCTGACCTCGACTGCTCACGTTCCGAAAGGAGTTCTTGCTGACTCAGTAATAGCGATGTAGTGAATGACATCCCTCTTTAGTAATTGGCATCTAACATGTATTTAATTTCTAAATGTTTATGTCAATGACCTCTGACATTGACCTAGTTTAGCTGAGCTACTGTCACTACATATAGTAGCTAGGGACACATATGTAACGAAATACGGCATGTTCCCACCCTTTTTTCTTATTCATCCATTTCTGCAGCGAATTGGTGGTAGACATAATAAATTGTTTCAAAATAAATAAAATAGCAACAAAATTAAAATGCGAACAGTTTAAATTTAAGCAGAATCCGACCCTGTTTGGAACGTTTACGAAGGAGGGCAACAGAGGTCAGCCACCGCTGGTCTTTTTACATGCTATATCTTCCCTTTAAAAATCGGCCACCGCCAACTGTCTTTGCATGTGGTATGATATGACAAGATGGTAAATGCGTTAAAAACAAACTGCCACGTTAATTCGGTGAAACTGAACCTTTTTTTGTAATTTTCATACCTGCTGGTCCAGCAAAATCTAATATATCATGCAGAAATTAACTACCATCGCATACACTGATAAACTAAAAACTAAAATAAATGTTGGCTGTTTATTTTTTACCCGAAGTGCCCTGTTGTTATATCACATCAGGTGGATTGCTATGGGGTTTACCTGAACTAGGTCAGTCATAGGTCAGTTGGTGAATTGGAAAAACTAAATAAACAACAACTTCAGGGGAACTCGTAGTATTACACTGAAAAACTCACCCCGTATAGTGGGCCATTCTGTATTTATAAATGTCTCTATATCGAATGAAATACTTGTGCAATAGTCTCTTGGAATTTTATATTAATTATTTCTTAGAATTTAAAATTTCCAAACTAATTTCAATTAATTCACGTTCCCTTTGACATACATAAACATTTTACATAAATATGCCTTTTTTTTATAGTTACGTATAACTTTGCAACGTAAACATTTTAATATATGTATTTTCCAAGGTTTCTGCAAACAATTCATAATTATTCATAAATTAAATCTCGTCTGCTGTAATAGTCGGGTCAAAAGTTTAATTTACGAGCAGTAGTAAAATAAATAATATACAATAAATATTATTCATTCTTATCTTGTACAGAAAATGTAATGTATTTAAGATATTTAAGATATTTTTGAAAAAAAAAATGATAAAAAAATCTTCGTAAAAGAAATAAAATAGTTAAATATTAAAAACGGAAAAAATTATAAATTGCTCCTTCCTTTTTTTAATTGAAAATTTATGTAAATGACAAAGTAGTAACGATCTGTTTGTACAATTTAGAGCCAGTAGATTTAGATTTCACAGTATACACAGGAGTCCCAATTTATAGGTGTACAGCCAATAACATAGGAAGTGGAAGGTGGTCTAATATATTTTTTAAATAGACGCTAACTTCCTCAAAATTGCAAATCTTAAGCCTGTTCCAATTTTTGAAAACTCGTATTTGAAATTTTTTGGTTCAAATATTTGAATTTTATTTGTTTTTTTTTTTTAATCTGTATTACTTATGAATAGGGGCATCCTGTATATTTTATATCCAAAGATGCACACATGTCTCCTGATCTCCACTCGCTTCTTTTCCAGCCGTTCACATGCATGACACAGCTTTATACCAAAACCGTACGGTATACAATGCTTATGTGCATAAAACGTCTGTTTCTTTCGCATATTAATACATCACCATAAAGATAACGATACATGCGCTTGTTCCTATGATAGGACTACACACAAACATATTTTACGATAATTATTTTTTAGTTCTGTTTATTTATTTCCAGGGGCCTCACATTGAAAATCTTGCCAAAGTATATCTGTGAATTATTTTGTGATATTGAGCGGTATCTGATTCCAAATTTGTATGTAGTAAGTATGACTTAATTGGTTAGGTAATTATTATCGAATGTTTGAAGGTTCAGCTGTTCATGGTGCACGGCCCGCGGAGGATAGACTGCGAAAGAACAGTGGACTCGGGTCTGGGGAGGCGGTCGGCATTAAAATTCTGTTGCGGCTTTATTTTATTTAATATCCCTAATTATGATACGACATGAGTTCACTTCCCAGTCTGTTCTCCGCTAGTCGAAATTTGTTAAAAACGTAAACATACGCATTGTATACTTTTATATAAGAAAATAACGGTGACTTGAGAGCAATGTACATAAAAGCAAGTATGCTTCTTTCTTTTCTATCCTTTTTGTCTGCTTTCTTACGCATAAGTATCTTGACGCTTTAGCTTATGTACCGTTTTGTTAAATTCCGTTCTTGCCTTATTTTGACCGAACAGGTTTCCGCATAAGAAATATTCGCCGGCAATTTAACAAATCGTCACATAACACGCACAATCGGCTGCGTAGAACCCCTTCAGCCCGAATTCCTTCTTCCAGGCAAAGAAGACTCGTACAAGTTGGAGGCCACGTCTATACCCAAGCCATTTTCTTCAGCCACTGCCGAGCCCCTGGGCCTGTCCACGAAAAGCCTTGATCTGACCTCGAAATTTCTAGCGCCAGCCCCCAGGGACGACAGGAAGGAGTCGAGGAGGGGCGAAAGCGACGCCCTGGATTTTAGCAGTAAGTCGGGGCCGCTAGCGTTCCCGCAATCTCCCTCCGTTAGTGTTCATATAGTTAAATCTCCGGCGCCCAGTCCGTTGATCAACCCGAGTCCCCACTCGGCCTCGCCTTGTATCACCGACGACGAACTTATGGACGAGGCCCTTGTGGGGCTGGGGAAATAGTTCAATATAGGACGAAATGCGACTTAAACGTTCCGACATCGCTCATGAGGCAATTTTGAGACGGTACTAAATGATGTTAATTTGATTTTATATTTATTTCAGCAAGTCTTCCAGATTTTTTTGTCGGGCAATATATAGGTTGTTTTTAAGTCAATGTCATAAATTCAAGAGGTTTCTTGGGTGGTTAGATGAAGTCTCAATGTACCAACAGCCTAAAACTATGGTTTTCGAGACATGGGATGTTGAAAGTTTAAAAAAATATTGAGTTTTTTGAAACGTGCCTGAAGATGTTTAACTTAGATTGATGAAACGTCTTAAAAAAAACCACCAGGAATTAACTGTACTTATTAGATTTCCAAAATACTCAGTTGCGCCAAAATTCTGGAGTTCTATTCAGTATTTGAGTTTGTACAGGATGTTTACAAACGTCAGGAAGAAATTTGACGGGTAAACATTTTTTGGAAATAGAACTTTTTTCAATATTTGCTTTGCCGTGATAAAAACTTTTTGGAGCCGCTGACACCATTGATAGATCTGCCTCTGTTGGCACATCATGCCGATTAGGAAATCACTGTTATCCAGGTGCCGATGAATTAATTAAATGTTATTATATTGATGAACTATTTTGGTAAGTATAATAAATTTTTAGGATCTTTCCTTTATTAAGGTTTAAAATCAACAACCCCTTAAAATCATGTTATTGTTGATGTTATAAAATCCTAACCTATATTTTTTTACCCCTGTCACAGAGTAGTGATGCTATTTTATTTTTCTTTATTAACAGTTGAATATAAAGTAACGAAATTACCGTGACTATGTTTCTTTGATCGATCTTGAAATTGGTTCGTGAATGGTATGTTCGAATGCGCTAATGAGCTACTTATGTTTCTTTTCCTTAGGAAATTTCCGTTGTTATATTTATTATCGTCAATTTGTACATAAAATTGCCAATTAACTTTAGCAGAGGTCCATTGTCGGACGTGTTTTCATATAACCGATATGACGAAGTTACTTTGGAAACATTTCTGTTGCGGTAAGTTCTGAAATTGAAAACGTTGATTTTAAGTAATGGTCAGAGGTTGAGGATCACGCCACTGCGTAACTTCGTTATATTCGGGAGCGATCAAAGGTTTTATAGCTAATTTGGTAGCTTTCTTTTTATTAGTACAATATTTATTTTATTAAGAGTTACGTTGTATATATTAATCTTTTCGCTTTGGAATTCAAAGTTAGAATTATTGAACGGGACACTACAGGGATGTTGCAAATTGTTAAAGATACAAGGCGACTCAAACTATAAAAAGGTCGTTCGATAGTTTTACGAAATTTTTACTGAAATCTGATCCGATGTTTCAATTAACTGTCGAAATATAATGAAAAAACTGGAAAATATGTTTATTTATGGAGATAACTTAATGAAGATTGGTCTCAAGACATTTGACACCCTCCTGGTGGTAAAGTTAGATTTTTTTGTATACAGTAGAACCTCGGTTATCCGACCTCGCTTATTCGTCCTCCTGATTTTCCGACATCGTGTCCGAAACGGCGATTCCATGTTAACCGACGTTCATCCGTATTATCTGACCTATGCCCGATTTCTGCTGTTTTATTTCTTAAAAAAATAATAAAAATGAATAAACCTGGATTATCCGACTTTTTCCATTATCCGGCCTAGTGCCGGTCCACAATAGGTCGGATAATTGAGGTTCTATTGTACTTTAGTGTTTGCAAAAAAAATGTTACATCTCAAAAACAATGAAAGGTAGAAAAAATATGATGAATTTCATTAAATTACCTTCATTTGCAACTTTTTTATTATCAGTCGAGGAAATAAAGCACAAAAAGAGCCGAAATCACAGAAATTTTTCGATCAAGTCGTATCAAGATGGGGTTTTTTGTATTCGCTTTCTAAAATTATGTGGAAAAATTGTATCAACTTTGTATTATGTTTTTCGGCCAAATTGCATTTATGCAGTGCAAAATGCATCCGGAAAAATGCATGTTTTGAAGTCACTTAGAAAAAATTCATAACTCGGTTAATAATGCCTGGAATGGACTCAAATCAGGGTCCTGGGGGTTTTCGAGGTCGCTGATCCCGAGTATGACCTTCAAATTGGTCCATCGCCGACCTGGAGCTTAGGACTGATGATAAACGTCATCTCCGAGGCTTCTCCTGAATTTCACTCTTAAATGCAACGAGACTTGACACCCGGGGGTTTTTGGGTCGCTGATTCCTAATCTGGCGTCGGCGAGCACCCCCCGGACACCTGGTGCACCGGAACCTGGACATGGACGTCATCTCCGGGAGTTTTCCTGTAAAATTCGCGTAAACGAGTCGAAAATCGCATCAGGGGGTTTTTCGGGGCGAAATTCGCGAATGCAAAAAACCCCAGCTTGATACGACTTGATCGAAAAATTTTGTAGGTTCAGTGATTTATTTCCTCGACTATATTTAAAGAATTAATCTGATTTGGTTTCAGGAAAAGTTTGAGCAAAACATTGCGCAATATTTTTATAATGTCACCCACGCTGTACCTCTCATAGCTTACGACATGCCTGATATCTCTTGTTGACTAATTCTAGCCCCGTGCAGTAAATGACAATCAGTAAAAAAATATATATATATATATAAAATATAAACTTACACAAATCATGTGATACGTAATTATATACACTTGTGAATGATTTATTATAGTTAATTTTTTTAGCTTTATTTAAAGTACTACACCATGCAATTTATTAAATTGGAAAGGGGTGCGAAAAATTGAAATTTATTTTTACTCGCATTAAAAAATCGAGTTAATAATATTATACTTAACCATATGTTAGTCAAGCGACGTTCCTTGCGCTATAAAACCTAGATGGCTCAAACGGAAGTGTTTATTACTTCCCGTTCCAAGGAATATATTTTTAGAAGACAATGTTGTAGGTTAAGTTTATTATATTTGCGCGAGTGAAAGATGCGTCACAGAATTGCATCGAGTGATGTTTATTTACGATACACTTGGATAAATTTTGTGACTTATTTATCGAAGGCACAAGTAGGCAACTCGAGGCCTTAATCCAATTAGAAAGTAGAGTAAAAAATTGCATTTCCTTCGTATTTTCGTTAACTAATTAGATTTAGTGCTACTTTTAGGATGGTTTGTTATTTTACGTACAAAAATACTTCACGGACACAATCACTTCACAATCACAACTGCTGACTCGTTCGGTCCGATTATAGCAGACGTGAAGTAATTGATTTGTGAAGTACTCGCACAAGTAAAATAATATAACATCTATAAAGTGATGCTTTTTGTCCAGAAATGACCTCGTAAAACTGCATTTTATGGTGAGGTCAAAGGAAAAATTTTTCTTACAGGTGCCATATTGGATAAATCAAGTTGCAATGAAAAACAATTGACAAAAAGAGCATTTGTTTTCCTTGCAACTTGATTTGGAAAACAAAAATTTTTTCTTTCTTTTTTTAATCAGTAATCACAAAAAAATCTTAATGTTTTGTTTTATCGAAATGAAGCGTTGTATTAATTTATTTCAAATAAATTTGCATTTGCACAATTCTTTCTACAATTATTGTCTTTTTATTCGTTCTATTAGGCTTCAAGTTGCCTGCTGGTGTTATCTCTTAGGTAATTCCATCTTAAATTAATATAGTAACGGTATTTATTGAATTTATTTGATTGTGCATATCATAGTACAAAATAACGATTACAGAGCCTATTGAAATATGACAGTTACAATAACTTTTTTTTATCAGGCATATTTCAATATACTCCAAGGTAATTCCATATAATTGTATAAAATATAGAATATTTACAGTAAGACGATGTTTTTATTCACTACCAGTGAGCGTTAAGCTTCTCCGCAGCTGTCTGGATAAAATTGGAATGACTGGCGTATAAATCCAAATTTCTGTCTACGTCCATCCACTGAACACCCTGAGCATCATCACCAGCTTTTAAATCAAACTTTCCCACAGATTTTCCGTCTTCATCGTGGAAGTTTATGGCGACGGTCTCCATCCAAGCATTATCCGTGTTTCTCGGATCGTCCACGTAACCTTTGTAAATGACCACGCCGTTTTGGAAAAAACGTTTGATCATGTCCTCATCTTTCTTTGACTGATCTAAAAAAAGAAATAGAATGCAAGAAAGGATGAGTGACAACAAAAAAATTCCGTAGATAGATTTATTATTATGTTCATCAATGAAAGCACCCAAGTAAAAATTAACTCTTCCAGCATGAACGGCAGTTCAAAATACATATGTGCATGTCTTTAGATTGGCACCGTACATTTTTAAAAATTGTCAAGTCCACCCTACGTATTATACATAATCACAAAATAGTCACCTTTGGATGCTTCTAGACTGTTTAAAGCTTCTTCAAGAAATTCCCTCCTCAGAGTTTGACTAACTTGCTCGTTGGGATCTACCATACCACCTGGCAATGCCCATTGCCCGCAATCTCTCCTCTGAATGGCACAGAATTGTAAAATCGGCTCTGAAAAGTTCAATAATAAGTATCACAATTAAAAGTTTTAAAAAAATCACAATTTACTTGAGTTTTTTAACTGTTTAACGCCATCTTCCACTTTCCACCTGGTAACTATTGGGTCTGCTGCATGATTGGGCCCCCATTTTCCTAAAACACCACGACCCCTAATCCCAGTTCTTCCTTCAGGGTTCAACGGCCTACCATCAGATATGGAATAGCTTCCAGTGTGGCTTTTTCTATTTACATCGCCATCCAATTCATTCCATTTTGGTTTGAAACTTGGATCATCTGCGATGAATTCATTCAACGGTAATACAAGTGTGTTTTGTTTGCTTACCAATTGCAGGATCTGCCCATGGTTTGTTTAGTATAGCTTTGGAATTATATTCTGGCGGATTATAACCTACAAATTTTGCACTCCAAGGTACTTGATTGTCAGAGAAGACTAATCTCTCTACGTCGCTGAAGAGATAACGGCCCCCTCTGCATTTCGTATGTACCATTCTTCTTAAAATCATATAATCTGAGGGATACAAGCAAAGAATTATAATTTCAAACAAATAGATAATCATAACACATAACCTCAAACCACAAAAATGTCAATTATGAATTCATTAGGGGTCTACAAATTAAATACCATGCTACGCGTCATCTAGACAAAAAAAAAATTTAACACTGCAGCGCCATCTTTCATCCGCTGGTATAATTAAGATATTTCTATTTCAGAAAACTAATTCACTTTTAGAGTTTCGTTCATTGGTTTATTTAAATACATAAATAGTTATTCAAGTTCGGATCTATCAAAGCTTTTATTATAAAGAACTAACAAGTTCTGCATTCCCAGATAATTTAAATTGAAATTACCTTGTAACAATATATTTTGTGTCCCTGCCTATCTAGACGTGTTTTGTTCTCCTGATTTCAATAAAATCCTAGCTTTTGAAATACCTATAATATTCAGCCTATAATGTTTATTTGATGGTGAGTTGCTCAGCTTTTACTTAGTATTAGTTTGTTTGCACTGATATTTTTAAAATAATATTTATTTTACTGGTAAAAACAAGCGGGTAGATTAATAAGCGTAAAAAGTAATGGAATTTCAAAATACATATTTTTACATTTTTTTGTTAATACTTGTTCATGTTTAAACAAATTTAATTTTATAGTGTGGTCAACACTTCAACAATGCAAATATTTTTGCACAGACTATTCACAAATGTACGGGGCGCTTCGCATATATTTAAGCAATGCAACATAAAGAAAACAAAATATAAGATAAAAGTTTCTCGGAACAAGATACATAAGAACAAGAACAAAACATACAGACGTGTGGTTCACCTCTTCCGGACAAACAATACGTGGTTTATTTAAGGTGTACGAAGATCCCCAATCCCCATTCTCTAAAACTCTTCACGACATTCCTGGAAAGTCCATACATAAATCAAAGCATCAGTTTAACGTTCCTTAAAATGCTGAGTGCGTACTGATTTAAATTTTTGTTCTGCGACAGGTATTATTCATGGACTATTCTGTTCTACTGACCCATTACCCACGATATACAAACAATATTTAAGCTCAAAACGTTACACAGAGGGTTGTTTCAGTTTTTTAAATTACCTACTCGTATGTTCTTGTTCCTCGCAAAATTCTAAGGTCGACCACACGACAAAGATGGAGGAAAATGACACAAATACGTGAATTAAAATAACATTTACGGAGTAAAACTATTTATTTCGTCAAATACACTTTTTCAGTTCGAAATAAAAAAGTTTTAGGGTGTAACTTGCTTTATCTTATTTAGTTTTAAACAACTTATGAAGTATTGTTCAAAGTTTACAAATCTGTTTATGTACAGTGTGATTCATTTTGAGCAACACCCTCGTAACTTAGAATGCCTGGGTAGATTTTCAAATTTTTTTCAGCATGGCCTACTTGATGAGATCTACTTTAAAAAGAAACTGACATATATTATAAATTAGTATTATTGGTGCAAACCAATCAGCGATCGCATTATCTCAAGCGTAGACGTAACGGTTTGTCATTGTTCATTGTAAACGAATCATTAATATTGGTGCCGTGAAATGTTGGTTGTCTCAGCTTAGCGGTCATGTGACTTGTACTCTTTTATGAATGCTAATCCCACAGACAAAATTCCTAACCGGTCTTATTGTGGGATGCAGCTATATGTGCATTGAAATACACTAACAATATCTGGTAAATCTAGTTATAAATAAGTATCTAAAATATAAACTAAAAGGTGATATGACTAAATATAATTAATACAAAAGCACATACCTGATATATATATTACAAATGTAATTTTTTCTTAGACGATCTCTAAACATTTTTTAATATTTTTAAACAACAATGCAACATTTCTTTTATTGTCCATCTTTCGCCTCTCATAACCAACATCATGTTTGATTAATTTTTCCTACCGAGGCTAAAAAATAGTGAAGATCGACGAACCCATCATTTAATTCGTTGTAGAATACAAAATTAACAATGTACCAGGAGTGATTTATAGAATCGTTCTTCGATACATCTCTGACCTCTTACACAAGTTTATTAACTCCATAGCAGGTTAAAAATCTCATATAAAGATGAGCAGGACTGTATGGGTACATCATTTTTTTATATCCGGTTTGATAGTCAAATTAGACTTTCAACGTTTTGTCGGCGTCTCAAATTAAATTATAGTTGTATTGAGAAACCGTTTAAGTGGATGGAAGGTGGCGTATCCATGACTGACAAAGAATTATTTGTACAAAGGAGTCGCTAAACTTTTAGCAACGAAGAAAAAAAGGAGAGCATTGACCTACTGAAACCTTTGAAAACCTCGTTTATGGATGTATTGTATTGGAATAACATTGCTATTAAGATATTAATACAATTAATTTTTATTAGTCTGTTAATTAAATATTTATATTTATGAATTCTTTATTTCTTTCTATAATTGGAGACGCCTCAGGGATCTGATCTTCGCCCTCTCAGTATTCTAATTAACGTCTTGAAATGTGAATAATACTTTTTTACATTGCAGTTCAGTTATGTAATACCTCTCTATGTGAATCATTGAAAGGAACTTTCTTGCAAGCAAGAAATATTTATAAAGTTTTATCAGGTTTATTATTTGTTCAGGATCAGATTTGAATTGTAACAAAGACGCTTTCGTATCCAGATACACCTTGATTTTTTAATCAGATTACAGATACGAAATGCAAACACAAGGTTAAAGTGGTATATTGTCAGGTTAAATGTTTTTATTTAAAAGGGTTCGAGGTTAAAAAAATTGAAGGCCAATGCTAGTTTTTCTGTTGTTTTTTAATGTTTTATACACATGTCTTAATTCTTTTATTACCGTCACTCCGAATTTTATTTTCAAATTGTATTCTCCTTTTTTTTATAATGTAGTGACAGCTTGGCAGAATCAATTAATTAAAAAATCATTGCCAACACGAAATATGATTTATATAAATATTTCTCAGCAGTTTTTACCGGTTATAGTCGACTACAAAATGACCTATTCATTTCCAGTTGCAGCTAACTTGTACTAGACTAACTAACAGGTACATAACACGGCAAATCTAGAAATTCATACTGGGTCAGTTTTAATGTACGTAGCTGGATCCGTTGAAAAACGCTGCTAGTAACTATACTTCTTAAATTTGATACAGGCTGCATTAAATGAAAAAGGACAAAGTCTAAGTCTTCCAGATTTCAGGCCGATATACGACAGTTGATCCAAATGTAATACCACAGTTTAAAAGGGAATTAAGAAGAAATACGAAAAAGTACCGCTTATACCATATTTATAAAGAAAGTGTATAACAATTCATTACACATCTAACGAGACTTAAAAATGTTTCGATCGGGTATGTCTATCAAATTCATACCTTGCTAAGTTTCTATTAAAATGTAAAAGAAGTCAAATACATAAAATAAATCGACTCTTACAGCTGCCGCACTGGGTATTTTTATTATATGACCTAATTTTTATGATTATAGTGTGTGTAATATGTACGTAGATAAACAATTCGGTTATTTTGGCGGAAATTTATATCTAATAAATGGTCATTACATTGTATTTTCACAGGCATCGCGTAAAAATTAAATGATATATTTTTATATTAACAGGAAAAGAGGTTATACAATAAACAAAAATATAACATTCCTACTTCCGGACGCGATTTCTCAAAGACGAAAAATGATATCGGGATAAATTAAAGTGCGTTTTAAAGAGTAAGTATAGTAGGTACCTACTTTACGACCCCATCAATGGTTTTAGCAAAAAAAATTATCTATCCATGTACATAACCTTAAATATGTCGAAAAAATCGCGATTTTGGCACTTTTAGGTTAGAATATCTTGAAAACTAGATCCAATCGAGAAATTTGTACCTCGGATTCGACTTCAGCGCACCAAAATCCTTGGGAAATGTACATTCTGCTTTTTGGGTTAGATTGCCGACCAAATTTTGTCGGCCTGTATTGTGTTATTAATTCAAAAGGTTGTTACAGTTAGTACTGTGGTTCTTATAACAACTTAAAACGTAAATATGAAACCAAACACAGAAAAATATGACACCATGAAAGATACTACAACACTGAAAAATAACAAAATAAAAAATATCCGTTTAGACCTAAATGTAATAGCAAAAACAATTTTTCTTTTAAACGTTATTTTCTGTAAAACGATGCATTTTCCAAAAATATCGATCCCTAAAAAAATCTGACGGAAAGAATGTAGCTACAAGGGCTCTCAGAACGCCCTGTATATTTATCGCAAAAACAAACGAATTATCCAGATAATAAATAAACTACACAACCACACAAAAAAAAGTTGTACTTTTCATGCGACATATGTTATCCATAGTATTTTTGCCTCCTGATCACGAATCCGGTGTCAGAATTGAGGTGTCACATCACAGGAATTTCCTAACCCCAAAAACAGGTCAAAAATAGCAAAAATTCACGAAAAAGTGCTAGGAAAAATACAAACTATTTTTTTTTCTATATTTTCTATTTCTATTTATATGGTTAAGACCCCGCCGAACATGAATCAGCAGCGGTTAGAATTAATGGTTCTTTTTTAACTTTAAAAAAACGGCTCAATTAAGGTCAGATATAACGAACTTTAAAAAATAACAGATTTGCACCAAATTTGGTATACAGGGGTTTTCGGGGTCGCTGATCACGGATCCGAGGTCAATTTTACAGAATTCAAAATGGCGGATCCAAGATGGCCGACCAAATTTTCAAAAAATAACTCATTCGCGCTAAATTTGTTATACGGGAGTTTTCAGGAACGTTGCTCACGAATCCGAGGTCAATTTTGCAAAATTCAAGATGGCGGATCCAAGATAGCCGACCAAATTTTCAAAAAATAACATTCGCGTCAAATTTGGTATACGGGGATTTTCGGGGTCGCTGATTACGAATTCGAGATGACCCGTTTTTTAGGTTAGAAAAAGAACCATCATTTCTGACCGCGGATTCACATTCGGCGGGGTCTTAACCATATAAATGAATATTTCAATATAGAAAAAAATTTGTTTGTATTTTTCCTAGCACTTTTTCGTGAATTTTTGCTATTTTGACCTGTTTTCTGAG